GAGAGAGAGAGAGAGGAGAAAAGCAGCGATACGGCTAACTAACCGTTGTTTCTCCTGGCATGAATCTCTTGGTCCTCGGATACAGTCTCCAGAAGAGGCAGGGTATTGTCTGGGCAGTAGGGCGAACTGAGGGGAACCCCCGCGCCACCCTCCAGCATCCCGGTGCCGTCCAAGCCCGCGCTATGACAGCTACGTGGCAGACTGGAATATCCTAAAATGCGTAAAATATCACCTATTAAAAGACAATGGCATTTTGCCTATACATGATTTAACTGAACTAAGGGGATAAACTTCGGGGGTGAGTTTCCAACATAAAAATAGATTCGATTATCAATATACATCGTAACCCCACTGAGATACTGCTCAAAATATTTATCAACACGATATATTATTTATTAATATTACGTGTATCAAATGGGAGACACTTTGAAAAATATTTGTTGTTTAATTAAATTAAAAACTGAAAATAAATAATATAGGTATAATAGTAAATATTATTTTTCCATTTTCCATTAATCAACATGTGTTTCAGCTGTGTCTCAATAATAGTGAGTTTGCGGATACATGTTGATATGAACACTTTCTCTCGTGCCTTGATATAGGAAACTCACTCCCGAAGATTGTCGTCTTGTTTTAGTTACACTCTGTATATGTAATATTTTCCAACTTTATAAAAAGATCAAAAAGTCACAATGCTGCATAAAATTGTGTGATTTTTATTGCGGTAATTACTGCTCGACAAAATCTGCCTGAACCTGCCGTTCTACAGAGAAATGCGCGTTTTCATTTCAGCGTAGAATACAAATAGAAAAAAAAAAAAAAAAACGAAAAAAAACCATATGCAAATTACGCGGTGATAAAAACAAAAATTACTCACGTATTTCGACGAGGTCCTGGCTCGGCGTGCTGGGAGTGGCCGGTACGCTGCTGGCCTTTCTTCTCAAACACGTTGTCTGGCAGCGTTGTATCGGCGGTTCCTCCTTCCGGAGTGGACCTGCCTCCTCCAGAACCTCCCTCTCCGTTCTTCCGGTATATTTAAACTTGTATCCCCACGAGAAGATGGAGCCGCCACTCACCACCGGCGCGTCCGACGCCCTCGGCAAGCTGCGCATAGCCGAAATTATTCATGATACCGCTCGTGCTCTAGATTACACGAATGCTAACTAGCTATTGTGAATTATTATTCTACTGTTATAAATTACCCGAAGCGCTTTTGAATACTACCGTTTGGACTACAAGGAAGAAGCTCGTTCGGATCGTCGGACACGAATTTCACACGGTACCGCAACAACAAGCGCGACAAAAAGATCGGCAAGTATCGAGAATAGGCCTTCATTCCGGGAACTAAGCATGAAGGATTTATGCCTGCATAAATTTGCCGAACGGAACTAACCCGGAAGTGAGCTGGTCCCGCAATCGAAATCGTCGCGCTCACCGTGGTGGGCAACGCTAACTCGATAGAATTTCGGTGACCCGCAAAGAGAATTCAATCCCCTCGGAATAATACTCCCGCCCAATTGATCAGATCGTGCGTCCCCTTTAATATTTTTCAAGATCGATTCTAATTTTAATCAATACGAGAATCGTTCCTCGGTTCCAAATATATTTTTTATACGTACACAGAAAAAAAATTAATCTTAAATCGAAATTATATTAAAGATTACAATATTCAAGAATATTATCATATAGAAGATTTTTAATTTCAAATTGAGCAAAAGTAATGCACTTGCATTAATACAAATTCAATCGAATCAAGATTGAGATTTTTAAGAAAATTATAATATTTTTGTTTATATATAAGAATAACTGTCTTGATTTAAATTAATTATTTAAAATTAATTTTTAAATAATAATACTTTTGAGCCTTCCACGGTTATTTTATTCAAAGAGAGATAATACATTACGGATATTACATAACATGTCGTGATACATTGTTAAGACTAATTTTTTTTTCCGTAAACAAGGATATTAGAATCTTCTTGTATACAAGTATTATTATTGCAAATATTACTATTGCAAATATTATTATTGCATATAAATATATAAATATTATTGTTGCAAATATACAAGTATTATTTTTGCAAATATTATTTTTGCTCTTTTTCATATAAAAGATTTTTAGTTTAGAATTGAGCAAAAATAATACTTGCATTAAATTCAATTAAATTAAGACTAAATTTTTAAAAAAATTATTGAATTATTATAATTAAACAATATTCTTGCTTATATATAACAGTATTTATATCTGCATCAATACAAATGCAATCCAATCAAGACTAAATTTTTCTAAGAAGCTTATAATATTCTTGTTTATATGAAAATATCTATCTTGATTTAAGACTAATTTTAATAATATTTTTGAGACTTCCGTTACGTTCTTCAAAAAAGTTAATACATTTACGATTAATATATACGATCATAATACGTTATTAATTTTTTTTCTGTGTATGTAACAAGAATTTTCTTAAAAAAATTTTAATTTTGATTCAATTTGTATTGCTGCAAGTATAGATATTCTCATATATAAGCAAGAATATTATCTCTTCATATAAAAGATATTTAGTCTTGAGTTGAGCAAAAATAATACTTGTATAAATACAAATTCAGTCAAATCAAGATTAAAATTTTTAAAAAGATTATAACATTCTTGTTTATACATATATGAAAATATTTTTTTATTTAAAATAAATTTTTTTCTGTGTAGTTTGTTATACTTTCATATAACGCGTTCTCAATATATTTCCTTTTAATTGAGAAAATGATTGATAAAAATTGATTAAAATTGAAATAAGCACAGATTGGGTTTCTGCCGAGTGTTCTATCTCGCGGCTAAAACTTCAACATTGCAAATGGACTTTAATTATCTGGATGACGGCCAAATTACCGGCGACAAAACGGCGGTCGCTCATCACGAGTGATTTTAACTTATTTCTAATGTGCATTCGAGACACTTTAGAATAGATATATCTTCATCCAGTAAATATAACCAACGTCAAGATTGTGTGCACGTCTCCATCAAACCCCCCCCCCTTGACTGCCGTCGCTGTAATCACGAAATCTTACAAATCTTCATTTCGATGAAACTTCATGTACAAAGAGGAATATCCGCTAAACAGAATTAATAATTCTCGAGGAGTGAAGTTAATTATTCATAAAAAAATAAAAATGTAATCGATTTAACTCGCGTTTTTTTAATAAATTTGTGAACGATATGCCGAGTTCTAATTCGGAATCTAGATCATATAACATAACTGACAAATAACATTTGTTCGAAAATATTGCAATGCCACTTCGTGCCACTTACGCGACCGCAAAATTGAATGAAATAGCATGATATTTGACGAGAGCGACGAAACGTTCGAGGCAACTTTGGTTCTCAAGTTCAATCGTGTTGGAAATTTATATTCATTTTCGGCACGTCATTTAGCTGACGCTCGTAAAATCGCGATACTCTGCCACGTACGAATATATCGCTTACGAATCGGGGCGATAAGCTCGTCGTCTTAGGCACACGCGTTCGTTTCGGCATCCATCAATGCTCGCCCGGTAGAAACCATTAAATTTGACCAGTGCAGTGGTATAACGATAAACCCGTGCCCGTGATGTAAGTGCCAGCGATATTTCCAGCGATCGGATGCATCTTTTACAGCGGCGCCGGAGCCGCTTTTACGGCAATTTCTTCCAATTACTTATCTCGGAAATTTCGGAAAAGCTGCACGTACAAGCAACGTGGCGCGAAAACTCTCGCGAAAAGACATCAAGTTTCAACCTAATGGAAAAAATTCAAGATTCCGATCGCAAAGATCGCATACGAGACAAGCTCGGAAAAGATATACTGTGACTGAAAATGAGAGACGAGCCTTTTGTTCAAAATTGTAAATTTCCTTTTCGCGCAGGTGCCTCGTTAATATATAAAACATTTGTACTGCAGCGGAAATCTGGGGGTGAGAATATCGTGGATGCTTGGAAGCTTCTTTGTAAGCGGTGAAAATGGTCGTGCGATACGAAAACGGGGGGGGGGGAGGGTAAATCTCATACGTGCCTTTAGGAGAACATGTGTAAAGGAGTACTCACGTAAAAAATAGCATCTGTTCGATGGCGCACCTCCATACGTGACGACAGTTCGTTGCCGTGGGACATTTGAACCCGACGAGGTGTTTTTTCTGAAAATTACAAATACGGAGACGCTCGAAAAGTATCCTAACTTGACGATTACGAATTACGTAATCCAACGTTACGTTCGCGATCCGTGAAATAAAGTCGACAAGGGATCATCGTCGAGGAAAATAAAAAAAGAAAAAAAAAAAAACATAAGTGAAAAAGGTTGATTAATTTTAACGTTGCAACGATTGTTCCAATGATCAATAGCGACATTCTCTAATGGTTTCAAGATGGTAATCGCTTGAAAATAGCGCAATGTCACGTCGCGTTCATGCAATCGTAAAACAGAATGAATTTGCGTATGGATATTATCGTCTCACGATTTGTCAATTTTCGTGGCTGGAAATTTTCAATTTGAAAATGAGACAAATAAAAATGTATAGCTTTAGAAGTGACAAAACTACCGTTTTACTCGTGGTTTTATGGGCAACGAGAAAATAATGCGAATGTAAGAGGGAATTCGTGAGATAAGAAAGATTTATTATTCGCAAGGCGACGATAAGTCACGATACGCATCTTCTAAAAGCATCTGCTGTTATCCCATATTTTTTAATAACCGGATCATCTATCCGGAGGAAGAGAGCGACTCTGAATAAATTTCGTAACAAATTTCTGCGATAAATCTATTTTTTTACATACATAAAAATCAAAATCGCTTCTCCTCCTCGATGTGTCCCTTTGATTTTTCTCATCGAGCCTCGTAACTTTCCACTCGGGTCTCGATAACAATTAAGCCTCGTTATTAAAAATTTAAATTTAATTAAAATCGTTCCTCTCCGTCACTCACCTTCGTCCTCAAGTCCTGCGCGAGTCCGGCAGAGGGAAATAAGTAATAGGATTACTTAACTTATAATCACGTATGTGTCTGACGTCACATGCACATACCGCACGCATATGCTGCACGCGAGCGTGTCATGCACGAACGAGAGGGCGCATTTTCATGTGCGATTATCGTAACGTAGTACTATATAGTGCGGCCTTCTTAATTAGGAATAGCCGAGAATAAAACAAGTTTCTTCGGCCTGGACTTGCACAAGCAACGTAACGTGAGCAGTAATGCATTTCACGTGGTTAAACAGTTCCGCGGGAAAATTTTAACACGGCAAAGACCTTACTGACAGACCGTCATGCGTTTCAGAACTGAATGAGTATACGACTGTAAATTGAACGGGCTTTATAACCAAACGAACGATTCGACTTTAAAGACTTTCGCGTTGACGTGTTGATTTCATGCCGCGCATTGCACGGTGTTATCTAAGATTAATAAGACCATGACCGACGAGATGATATTTCCACACTTGTATTCTCTATAATTTGCGTATAATTTTATGCATCTTAATTTTCATCAATTGGATCCCGATATAATGGACTTTAATATAATGATAGATTTTATAATTAACGCAGTAAAAACTCATATGTAAATTTTTAATTGTCTTTGTATAAGTGATATCGCGCTGCGTGTGCGATATCGCTGTTTTTCGTTCGACAGATCAATGAATATAAAAACGACAAAAAAATATGCACGCTCACCTCGTTTATCGTCACATGCACGATAAACATCTTCCCTTCGAAATTGATCTTCTGAACTTCCGACCAGCGGAAATGTTGTATCTTCCGTGAGTCTTGGAATGTCAGGATCCCGCAGTGGTTAATGCCTAGATGAAGCTGCGTGCCCTTGTCAGGATCCTGTAAATGTAACATGTGAACATGTTTATCAGAAAATAGAATCGCAACGGAAACGCAACGTGACATTCGCGTGGATGATGCACCACGCGTGCGCGAGAGAGAGAGAGAGAGAGAGAGAGAGAGAGAGAGAGAGAAGTAAATTAAGTGAAATTTCCATTTGGTTAATGCATTCGCTATTTCGAAGAAGTATCTTTAAATGCAATCGCATTTATTATTATTATCTTTTCTTTTAATTTGCGTAGAAACTTACTCGTTAAATTGTTTTATCGATAGCGCAAAAAAAAAAAAAACGTTTACATATGTAATTACCGACCCAGCAATTACGTAGACACAAGTTACATGCAAATTATTAATAATGATAATTACAAGGAAAGCTCCTTTTTTTCATTAAAGTTATCTGTAAACGGTTCTTTATCCTTATGCGTCATTGTTACTCACGCTAGTCCATTTTCTCCACGAGTCTTCTCTTTTCGCGATTTTATTCAATGCGAAATTCATTATAGTCGGCCATTTCCGACAAGTGTACATCGTGACGGCCAATGAGACGTGCATTCGACACGTAAAACGGATACTTTACGTGGCGAACCGTGGGTACCCTTTCGCGAGTAAGAGTAAGGAGAGCCTTATAGCGCGACGGTGCCATAAAAATGACATTTTCCCTTAAAAGGAAGACGGTCACGCGGTGGTGGATCGCGATTATTTCTTCAACGCGTGAATGTCGGCGATGCGGCCGCAGGAAGCGAAAAACCAATAAACGACAGGTGGTACCGCGCCGCCACGTACTCGCCTTTCGCGACGAGGGTGTAATGAATGCATCATGACGAATAATAGCAGGTTGTTTTTCCTCGCGGCCGATACGAAACGCGAGATTGTTAGTTTGCCGAGTCGGCTTATAATGTCGTAGTTTATTTGTCAGCGAGAGTGTTCCCGAACGAAGATAACGACGAAGGTTTCAATGGGCGCATCGATCGACCGAGACATTAATTAAACAATAGCGTGCGTTGCACTAGCAGCACTGTGTGTCGGTGATGGAGTTAATATTAGAAAACGTTTTAGATTCGTTCAGATTATCATTTGGAAGATGGATCGTCCCGTCGCTTCGTCGGATATTTCGCAAGAGACTTTCTCAGGTCTCGTGTGAATAAAAATAATTCGGGACGATCCGTTGTGACGACGGACGTTGTGAATTTCCTATTGACAGTGTTGTACTTAGATAACTTAAAATCATCTAAATCATTTAAATTTATCTCAAATAAGATAAAGATGATTTTAATCTAAATTTGTTTAGATAAAAGATAAAATTATGCGTCATTTATCTAGATAATTTTAAGGTAATATCGCTATTAAGTAAGATATAGCATATAAAAACAAAACTTTTACTATTTTACGCTGGTTAGACAGCATAAGTGAAGATGCGAAACGTAATTAATGCAGGCCTTGACATAAATGATTTATATTACTCTGGTACACAGTCGCACATACTGGCGTGATCGCTCTTTGAATAATATTCGTTGAAAAATATCAGCTATAATTTAACCGGATTTATATTTATACATAAAAATTTCGTAATTACTTAGCTGGAATTAATTGGTGTCTGTTATATAAACGCAAACGTTCATTTTTATTTGAACATGACATTGAACACATCAAATTATGCAACTTAGATAATTTACAAAAAATAATACTTCTTTTACCTAAGCTGAAGATAATATATATTCCAATTATCTAGGTAAAAGATAGGATAAAACCATCTAAAACTTAATCGGATTTATACTTATACATAAAAATGTCGTAATTACTTAGCTGGAATTAATTACTGTCTGTTGTATAAATGCAAATGTTCATTTTTATTTAAACTATAAATTCGATCAAAGCTACTTCAAACTACGCAACTTAGATTATTTACAAAAAATAATACTTCTTTTACCTAAGATAAAGATAATGTTCCAATTATATCAGAGATAGGAGAAAATCATTTCTTCATCTAGGTAATTATCTAGATTATTTTACAGATAATGGCAAAAACTCTGGTTACATTAATAATCTTTAATTTTTTTTCATCTAGATAACTATTTAGATAATTTTATATAGGAAACGGCTAAAATTCTACCTACATTGATATAGTTTCTGATTTTGAAATATTCGCTTTTCGATTTATACAGAGAGCCGAGAGACTAACCAGGTACAGGAGGTATATCACAATCGGATAAAGATGTTTCGAACGAATTTTCAATCGGTTGTCGACGAAGTATAATAGATGCGCTCTCGAGGAAATCCCGCGGAAGGCCTGCTCCTCGTTTGAATATCAATGAACGCTACTTCATATTCCGCGATATTGGAGGAGACGTCAATGGCAGCCCCCCCAGAATCGGTTATCTCCGAAAGCGTTTCCTATACGATATCGCGCCGTAATTTCAAAAATGAAAAATGAAATTCGCGCGAGGATTCGGAAACTACCCCCGAAATTAAATGCGAGCTAAATTACGCGCGAATACATTGAAATCTGTATCCGGTGCTCCCGCGCGTAACATACGCGCGAATCAGAATTACATTTATTAATAACATTTATATTGAAATTCGTAATATTCTCAAACACTTGGGTTTTATCACAGGTACATTTATCGCGTGACGATAATATAATAATCGAAATGCAATTAGACTCGGATACGTTCGAACGTTTCGAAGCGACGAGATATAGGGGGATGAAAAGAAGAAGAGCCGCCGATTTACGAAACGAACACGAAGCGCGATCGTTCCTCTCGCGAAGTAGATAAACCGGTTATGGACTCTTCTCTTATCGACGTATAGGCGAGATATACGACTTTTATCCGCGATACCTACACCATTACCCTCTGCCGTGCTCGGATTTGTTCATCTATGTTCGATCCCAAAATTCTCTCTCGTGATCGCGACGAAGCTCGTTATTCTTTCGCCCAGATTGCGATCGGCATTTTCGATAAGGATAGGACAAACGTATATTTTCATTGTGTCCCGATTAAAAAACGCGCGAAAATCTCTTCTTGATCTTGAATTATGTAACAACAACACGAAGTAAAGGAAAGGGAATTAATGAGAGTCAACGCAACAAAAGAATAGCGTAACAATTTTTTTGAAAAAGGAAACAGTTATTTAATAAAATAGTAAGGATCAATATAGTAACAACTAACAAATAAACGATAAAAATTATAATACCAAATGTTTTGGCTCATATTTGAACCATCTTCAACGAAATAAATTTTTTAATTACGAAAACAACATGTGGAACTTATCACATTTGTGACCCGAAGGCAAAAATCTTCTTCTGACGTTAAAAAATGTTATATTTTCCAAATTTTAACAATTTGCAGTAGTAATCAAAACAAATAATCTATGTAAAATTTCGAGTCTCTCGTTGAGCGAAGTGGATCGCCGAAAGTGCAATCGCATCCGGCCGCAACGATAATCTTCATTGATCGGCTTTGAATTTTCGAAGAAAAAGAACGAAAGAACATTATAAAGGATCGCGTAAGAAGCAACATTCATCCGTAAGGAGCTTCATCAAGGGACGACGGTACATCGCTATTCTTCGGATTGAAATGTACTGCCGGAAATAAAGAAGGGTGTCATTAGCATCACGAAAGGAAACGACCATGAGAGCTCGTTCGTTTCGAGCTGGTCACGCTATCAACCCGTTAACAACGTTCAAGTTTGTTCCACAACAATGTTGTCGTCCACATTGTTGCCGATCGCAACTACTTTGCCTAACGAGACGACGTTTTCGGGCGACGTTTCCTCGGGATCTTTCCGCGATAAAAGTTCTTATATCAAGTTTCCTGATTCTGTCAGGTAATAAAGTTAGTCCGATTTTAGCGAGCGAGCAGGCCATTTCCATATGGAAACCGAACCATATGGAAATGAAAGTGAGTCAAAAGAAAGTGACTCAAAGAGCGAGTTTCCGCGAATTGAAAGTCCTTCAACCTCACTCGGTCGCTTTCGCGAGAAATATATGCGAGGATAACGAAAACTACCTTGACCGGATGTGGATCGACCGCGTACGTGTCCAATTGCGAGGCTATCCTAAGGAAGTAGTTTTCCGACTGTTCCGGTGTGAACCCTTTCAGCTGACCCTGATGCAGCTCCATCGCTTTCTCCTCGATCGTCGTCGTCTGTATCTTCAGTAATTTGTGCTCGGAGATATAGTTCCCTTCGTGGATCTCGGGATCGTAATCCCCCAATTCACCTGAAAATTCACCGGAAAAGAAAAGTTATCCCATTATCTCAGAGACAACAGAGAGAATAATGCCAATTTCAACAAAATTATCGTACGTTTCTCTTTACGCAACTTTTATCCATTTTATGTAATTCTATAATTAATTGTAATTTTTTTTTTTTTTTAATGTAGAATATCCTCTTTGTGTTTACGGGAAAAAACAGTTTTTGCTGGATATAATTCTGAAAAATAATTTCGTTGGATTATTAAAATATAATAATTATGTAAAACGTTCAAATTAGTTGCTAGATTATAAAAAGATTTTGCAGTATTTTCGTCATATTTCAGCGTGCATAATAATTTTAATGATTTCCGATAAAATCAATTTTCAGATCTGATTTTTGTCAGATCCTACAACAAAATTGTTCTTTCCGTGTATCTAATCTAAGTTACAAGAAAGAAATATTTGACAAGCGTAATTAGAGTATGCTCTAAAACGGTGCGTGGCAGATAGTTCGAAAAACGAGCGGCACTCATCGCGAATATTACTCAAATCGCAAGAGGATGACTGGATATAAATTGTCCACAATTGAGAAAAGAGCGCTGCTCGAATCGGATGTCAAAGACAAATGACAGGGAAAGCAAACAAATTTGTCGAAATAATTAAGCTAATCCGCGGCAGTTCCCATCTCCTCCAATTGATGAGAGAATCCACGTAAAGAAAGTCATTTATTTTTACGAGGAATCTGCACGAAGAACCGCCTAATTTAACAAATGGGGGAGAAGCGACATACGATCGCTATGTTCAGCTGTGAGGAACGTAAGAACCACTATCGTCAAGGTCAGCAAAAAGATCCAGCGGAAAGAGCGAATAGTTTTTAGTAGTTTTACAGCCGAGGTTCACCGAAAGGTGAACGATCTGAGAATTGATGGTCAACGGCCGAAGTTGTAATACAAAGAGTCACGATCGGTTACGGCGGAAAGTGGCGAGTCCATTGATTGGGCCTTTACGTGCCTTTCAATAACGAGATCACAAGATAAAGCAATGAGAAAAGAATAGATTTTGCTGATAAATCTAAAAGTTTGACCAGATATAGAAGAGAATTTTATTAGGCCCACAAAATTATTATGTACGACATTCAAATTGATTGCTAGAAGGTAAGAAAATTTTATAATTTTTATTATCATTATGCTTAAGTGTCCTGATAATTAATAAAAATTTTGAAAATTATTTTGATATTATTTTTATCCAAATTTTTAGAATTGTCAGGAAAATTGTTCTCTCCGTGAAGGGTTGAACGCTTATAAGAGGGTACCAACTCTCGGAAGGTTACTTTTCAGATTAACTTCAATCATAGTCCGAGATTCCACAAATAAATAATTTACATTTCTCGCTAAAGTACGAGGAACTAAATATATGAATGTGTACCGATGTACCATCAAAGGTACCATCGATTACAATTTTATTGAACCTGAAAATACATGACATCAACTTATTTCGACAGTCAGATTGAGTAATCCATTGCATTTGATTTAGCGTCCGTTATTCAACTACTTCGTAATAGGCTTAATCACCTTTCGCGAGAGAGACATGAGAGATTTGAAACATTAGCTGAAATTTTTACTTAAATAAATTTCAAGAAAAATAAACGTAAAGCCACAGAATCGTACATCCTACGGGGGGGTGGGTATTGCACGATCGATGGACGACGATCAACGGAGTGGACGGGGTGGATGATAGACGATGACCGTGATAGGTCACTGGAAAGGAAATCCTGAATTATGAGAATCCCGAAGTAGAGATAAAGGAATAAATTGACCGAACGGACACGTGAAACGGAGAGAAGCTGAAACTAGAAATTGCGGCCGGCAGATATCACGCACTGTATTCATTGTGTTCGCGAATCCAATATTAGGTAAAATCATGCTAAAATCGCTTGAAATGTGTCATGCCTATTTAATTTGATTTGTTTTTTTTTTTTTTTTTTTTTTTTTTCTTTAATTTGTAAAGTAAACTAAAAATTAAACGTTTC